GCCAGAAGCTTCATCCAGGTCTCCTCTTGTGGGTGGCAGAGGCCCAAGCAATTGGGCCATCTTCTGTTGCTTTTCCCAGGCCATTAACAGGGAGCTGGATTGGAAGTGGAGTGGCTGGGACTTGAGCCGGCACCCATATGGGATGCCGGCATTGCAGGTGGTGGCTTAACTTACTATGCCATAGCTCCGGCCCCTACACAGATATATTTTTTTTTTTTTTGACAGGCAGAGTGGACAGTGAGAGAGAGAGACAGAGAGAAAGGTCTTCCTTTGCCGTTGGTTCACCCTCCAATGGCCGCCGCTGCAGCCGGCGCACCGCGCTGATCCGATGGCAGGAGCCAGGATCCAGGTGCTTTTCCTGGTCTCCCATGGGGTGCAGGGCCCAAGCACCTGGGCCATCCTCCACTGCACTCCCTGGCCATAGCAGAGAGCTGGCCTGGAAGAGGGGCAACCGGGACAGAATCCGGCGCCCTGACCGGGACTAGAACCCGGTGTGCCGGCACCGCAAGGTGGAGGATTAGCCTATTGAGCCACGGCGCCGGCCTTACACAGATATTTTTTAAAAATTTAGAGTGGCCAGCGTTGTGGTGTAGCAGATAAAGCCACTGTTGTTCCACTTCTATACAGCTCCTTATTAATGCACCTGGGAGAGCAGTGGACTATGGCCCAAGTCCTTGGGCCACCTGGGCGACCTGGAAGAAGCTCCTGGCTCCTGGCTATGGACTGGCTCAGCTCCAGCCGATACAGCCATTTGGGGAGTGAACCAGTGGATGGAAGACTTCTCTCTCTGCCTCTGCCTCTCTGTAACTCTGCCTTGCAAATAAAATAAATAAATCTTAAAAAAAAAAAAAGCTTGAAGTGAGGAATTATGCCAAGTAAAGCTGGGGACAGCCATGAGGGCACTGAGTACCTGGGGAAGAAAAGAAGGTAGGACAGTGTGACACGAAGACCACCTTGACAATGTCGTCAGTGCCTCTGAGGCCCCGGCAGCCCCCGATTGTTCTGTAAACACGCATTGCTGGCCAGGCAGACTCTTTCAGCAGTGGGTAAGGCAGTGACTTGAGCTGCAGGAATTCTGAGTGATTGTGACCATGAATCACTGGATGTCAGCTAAGATTGTAGGGATAAGACTGTCCCGTATCTTTCCCATGCCTGTAAATCCTGCAAGCAGAATGCCAAGAGCTTTACACTTAAACTTTTGCCTACTTACGCCATTCAAAAGGGACTTGCAGTCTGGAGTCAAGAAGAGAAAGTTCTCCTTGGAGCAATTAGTCTGTGCAATTGTATAGGTAATTTGAAAGTTCCATCCAGCCACCACCTGAAACAATTTTGGGTTGAGGAGTTAGAGGGCAGTTTGAACATTATTCACTATGTGATGTAAATGGTATGCATTTAAGACACTGCCTGGCATGCACATGTTCAAGAAATAGCAACTTTTATAATTCCTAGGCAACAGCTATTACTGAATAAGTACTGAGGACCCTGAGATACTCACATTCCCCACACAACACACACACCCACCCACATACCATCCATCCGTTAATAAAATGTAATATATAGATGGAGTTACCATATCCATAAGTGCAGCCTAACAATAGTTCCTAACCAGGCTGCAGAGAGAAAAATTGTTATTGAATTTCATGAAATAATAGCGCTCTTCTAAGGACAGAAAACTCCGGAACTGGAGTGGCCTTTCCCAAGGGATTCTGAGGTTCTCAATCTCCTAGGTGGTAAGATCTCTCCAGCTTCCTGGTACCTGGATAGGAATGGAACTGAGTAATACCTGCAGGTCGCACAAAGACATGTTGTAAGATCTTTTTTAACAAATGTGAAATATATACTTTTGTTAGTTTATTTTTATTTATTTGAGAGAGAGATAGAGAGAGAATATTCCATCTACTGGTTCACTCCCTAAATCCCTAATTGTCCACAATAGCCAAATCAAGGAGCCTGGAACTCCATCCGGGTCTCCCATGTGAGTGGCAGGGACCCCAGTACTGGAGCTGTCATCTGCTGCCCCCTAGTGTGCATTATCAGGAAGCTGGGTCAAAGGCAGGGGTGGGACTCCATCCCAGGTACTCAAATACAGGATGCTGACATCCCACGTGGCGGCTTAACCCATGGTGCCTCGCCCTATATGGCGTTTTAATTACAGGGAAGGTTACTGACCAAAATGAGTCACTTGTAACAAGATGCAATACAAAGCACCCAGCCAACTATCAGAAAAGATTTGGGCTGGCGCCGCGGCTCACTAGGCTAATCCTCCGCCTTGAGGCGCCGGCACACCAGGTTCTAGTCCCGGTCGGGGCGCTGGATTCTGTCCCGGTTGCCCCTCTTCCAGGCCAGCCCTCTGCTGTGGCCAGGGAGTGCAGTGGAGGATGGCCCAGGTGCTTGGGCCCTGCACCCGCATGGGAGACCAGGAGGAAGCACCTGGCTCCAGGCTTTGGATCAGCGCAGCGCTGGCCACAGTGCGCCGGCCATAGCAGCCTTTTGGAGGGGGTGAACCAACAGAAAGGAAGACCTTTCTCTCTGTCTCTGTCTCTCTCACTGTCCACTCTGCACTCCCGGGCCACAGCAGAGAGCTGGCCTGGAAGAGGGGCAACCAGGACAGAATCCGGCGCCACGACCGGGACTAGAACCCAGTGTGCCGGCGCCTCAAGGTGGATTAGCCTATTGAGCTGCAGTGGCGGCCTACATAGTTCTCTTAAAACTGTAAAGCCAGGACCCAGCGCTGTGGCTCAGAGGGTTAAGGACGAGCGCTGGCATCCATTGCAGCTCCCTGCTAATGCACCTGGGAAAGCTGAGGAAGATAGCCCAAATCCCTGGGTCCCTGCACACACGTGGGAGACCTGCAAGAAGCCCCTGACTCCTGACTCCAACCCATTATTGCAGTCAGTTGGGGAGTGAAACAGTGGAAGGAAAATCTCTCTCTCTCTCTGTAATTCTGCCTTTTGAGTAAATAAATCTTTAAAACAAAGCAAAACAAAACAAAAGACTGTAAAGCCAGAATGATTTTCCATTTCCCCATGGGTAGGACAAACGTGTAACACTAATGCCCATTTGCTTGCTGAGAGCAAATGGCAAAGGAAGTGGATCTGATCATCCCCCTTCCCCCCTGCATGTAGCGACATCCTACTCACTTTGCTCCACTGCTGGAAACGTAAAAACCCAGAGTCTCTGGCTGCCAGCCACGCAATCGTGGCTGCTGGTTTACTTTAGGTAATGAAACCCTAAACAGAAAGATCTAACATTTTTATACTACATTGTGTAACATGGAAGATTAAAGAACAAACCTGTCGTTGGGCCCCTTTTACTTCTTTAAGAGCAAACAGGTAGGAATGGTCGGTGCGGTTGTTAAAATGTTGAACGGCATGGCTCAGAATGGGCTCCAGGTCAGGGCTCTTGGTTGACACAGGGTGCACGCAGCCCAGGCAGTTATACTGAGCTGTCACCACGGGGCCCTCGGCTTACAGAGAGCAAGAAAAGGGCCACGTTAATGACAGAAACATTGCTTGAAACAAAGAAGACCATTTAGAAAGCCTTGATAAATAAAGTTCCCAGTAAATCCTAGTATGCGTTAGGAACAAAGAGAATACAAGACTTTTGCAGAGAGGGGAAAAAAACTATCATTCACTCAAGGGCATCTTATAGGCACTATATCGTGCATAACTATTTTAACTTTTTTAAGAGTAAATTTTGATTAAGAAGTCATGTATGAATTCATCATCTTTTTAAAAAATTCAATTTACATTTCAGTGATAGGGAAAGCTCCTTGAAGCCAAGCTTGGGGCTTCACCTTTTTTGTCTTAACTCAGCCTGAGGAGCATGTATGTTGCACCGGCTGTCACATACTAGGCTCCTCAGGGACATTAATGTGTTAGTGCTGGTCACTGCTGTAAAGGAGATGACATGTGGGAGAGTCAGAGCTGTAGGCAGATCATCTCAATGTGAGGGCTTGGGAGGCAGGAGCCCAAGAGCAGGGTCCGGGAAGATGCCTGGGCTAAGGACAGAGGTGACCTGAGGCGTCCCAGCAGGGGTGAGGGCACAGGACGTGGGGGGATTAAGTGCATGCATGGCTCCTGCTGAGGCGGATGAGAGACATAGCAGCATGGGATGTGGCATGCATACGTTTCCCCCGAATTTCAAGTGTGCGGTAGGGGAAGGGTCATCAGTGTGTAAAAGGTGGGCAAAGAGGACCCCGTGCACTGGCGCCTACCTTCACCGTCCAGGCCAGGGGGTTACTGACCCTATTCGGAGGTTACTAACGCAGTTCAAAGGGGTGTGGGCTCCTTGATGAAGCTGATGAAAGCCGGAGCCCCCTCCCCAGGCAGCCACACACACCCTTGCAAATGCAGAGTAGGAGCCCCTGAAGTGGATGGAGAGTGGGGTGCTGTAAGAATGGGCAACCCCTGAAGGCTTTCCGAGAAGATCATGCAAAGGATTTGAAAGGGAGCTGTCCGACGTCACCCACGAACGTTCACTGGTCATTGGTCGGTGTGGCAAACGCCATGAAGAGGGGGAGGTAGCTGCAGGAGTCCAAGACTTCCTCCCCCAGGCGCTGCCCTGCCTGTAGCCGCGCCTGCGCGCCGGGAGCCAGACGCAATCAGGCCAACAGCTGAACCGCGCTGCCCCTCGATTCTTAGCAGCTCAACCCAATCTCCCCGCGACTGTTTCTGGCATTTCTCTCCATCAAGATGGGGGGCAGGGAAACTCTTGCAGGGCGAATACGTGCAACTTTCTCCTTCCTCTCCTTTCTGAAGTTCTGGTGAATCAGGGTAGTGGTTGATGCTAAAGACTGGAGGCGAGTTCCACGGGTTCCAAAGGTAGAATTACTGAGCACAAAAGATGAGCACAAGAGGCGGCAGGGGAGACGGAGAGAAGGCGGGGTGGGGGTGGGGGGCTGTTTGCCGCGCCTCAGAGCCAGCTTGTGCAGAGATTTGACGGGGACGAGCGGAAGAGAAAGAGCAACCACGGAGGGTGAGGGTGAGGAGAGTAGGAAAGATGCTCACTCAGTTTTGCCGGGTGACAGAATGATTTTCCACCCTACCGCCACTTTTCTAAACATTGTTTAATGATTGAAGATTTTAAACTACTAGAGATTTCGTTTCTGTTTGGGGCTGTTTCCCTTGGAATGCCACTTCCTGCAGGAATCAGAAGTCCAGGGATAGAATTTTTGTGGGTTCCATCCAGATCGCTAGGGCTGTTGTTCACAACTGCTGCGATGGCAGTGTTCCACAGGGAGGCTGAGCTGTCCCACCCTCGCCTGCTCCAGCTCTGTCTTGCAGAAGGCCAATTCCAGGAAGGCTTTTGTGATTCACATCACCTAGGTGTGCCCGCTCCTCTGTACCCGGCATCGCCCCCGTACTAGGAAAGAAGCTAGTAGGAGGTGCACCTCTTGATCTGTTGCCCCGTAATTATAGTCTTAAGGAATTTTGTTTATTGAGGAGTCACACTCCCACCTCCACTACTTACTGGCTGTGGGATCTTGGGTAAGTTTCCTATCTGCTCTGGGCTTCAGCTTCCTCTTTTATAAAATGAGGATATTGGTTTCTACCTCTTGGAGTTGAAGTGAGGGTTAAACAGGTTAAGGCATGTTAAATGTTTAGAACTATAGCTGCCACAGAAGGACTCCATAATGTCGCTATTTGTTTTATTCTGTTGATCATCAATATATTATTATGATTAGTAGGCATTGTGCCTTTGACCCTCCCCTCAAAGAAAACAAAACTTCGCCTTGACTAAACCTGAGTTGATAATAATCTGCAGATAAACAGGAGGCAGCTTACTGGATTAAGAAGACAACTCAATGGCTAACTTTTCATTAAGACGTTGCGAGTCCTGGGGTCGGCATTTGGCCTAGTGGTTAAGCTAAGCCAGTTAGGGTCCCATATTTGAGTGCCTGGGTTCAATGTTCTGGTTCTGGTTCCTGACTCCAGCTTCCTGCTACAGCACACCCTGAGAGGCAGCAGGTGATGGCTCCAATCGTTGTGTTTCTGCCATTCACCTGGGAGACCTGGACTGAATTTCTAGCTCCTGGTCCTGATCTGATCAAACATCAGCAGTCGCAGGCATCTGGGGAGTGAACCAGCCATTGGGAGTTTTTTGTCTGTCTGCCTCACAAATAGATAGTTTTTAAAAAATTAAAACAAGGAAGTTGCAAGTCCCTATCCAGCCATGGCTGGTTTGAGGAACCTGGCACAGCTGGCAATGGTACCCTCACCCTCACCTTCACCTTGGTGAAGCTCACATCCCCTGCTGGAGTTCAATCTCCACCCACAATTGCACATGGACTGCAAGCAACACGCGTGAGAACCTGGTGGGCACTCGTGCCAGCTCCCTTTTAGATATTCCAGAATGTCTCTGAAGCTTACTATGGATGACTTTCCTGGAAGTGAGCCCGCTTCAACCTGTAACTCCTCGCTCTTTGGAGAGCCAGGGTTTCGGTCAGGAGATCGTCTTGCTCCTGGATTAGCCAGTTGAGCCTTATCCCTCTGTGCTCACGGCCCACACGGTTGCCTGTGTGTTTGCACTGGCCTCTGTGCCATGTGCCAGACAGGAACCCTCCCATTCCACCTCATTTCAGTCTCATGGCCATCCGGGAAGTGGAAAGTCCAGCCAGCTCCCTTGTCTGCACGAGACAAAGGGAAGCCAAGAAGGCGAAGAGCTCTGAACGATTCCAGGTCGGGTCTGAGCTTAGTCTGTGCTTCCCAACAGGGTCCCACCACCAACTGAGGGCAGGTCTTGAGTCTTCTCACTCTTAGGCAGGGCCCTGGCACACACCCGATGCAATGCGGCCCACTAAAGAGGATAATTCTGAGAGCGGATGCCTGGCCCAACTCTGGTACTCTGGCACTTCACCCCACCCATGCCCACGTGCCCCCCTCTGCTGCCAGTGGCATTGCTCCTGCCCGCTCTGGGAGGGGAGAGGGCCCAGTCTGGGCTGTGCAGCTGGTGCACAGCAATGGTTCACCCCACCCCACCCCCCAGGGCAGTGCCGTGGGTATATCAGTTACCTGGGGTAATCTGGCAGGTCTGTGTCGCCACAGAGAATTTCCCATTGCTCCTCTTCCCCACGGTCGCTGTGCACTCTCCTGTGGCCTACGAAGAACAGAAAGGGAGCATTCACCCTAATCTGTTGCGTGGAGGGGCCCACCCAGGACTCTGCTAAACAGGGCTTTCTCTAGGAAACACGGACACCTACAGATTTGCCCGTATTTTTTCCTAAGAGAGTTTTGACCCTCGAGAACGCGACAACGCGTGCTTTTGTAGCCTAACGATGATTCTGCACAAGTCACTGAGATCCGTGAGCGGTGGGTTTCCAAGCTTGTCTTTGTTTCCAGCCCTGCGGAGCCCTCTTTTTCACCAGGTGTTCCATACATAGTACCTTAGAACCAGCCTGCTTAGAACCGTCTCCCGACTCACCTCTCCATTTCCCTGGATGAATGCGATTCTCACGAAGCTCAGTTTAACTCACGAGAAAGAGCAAAGACTTGATGCCCACGTGTCTTCTAGTCCCTGCCCGGCCACTGGCTAGCGGTCACTGCCATCAGGTACCGTTGTGTCTCGGAGTCTCAGGTTCCCCTTCTTGTAGGAGACACGCCACGTCTGTCTCACAGGCTGCGTGAGCAATAAACGTGCAGACGCAATGGAAGTGCCTAACAGAGGCTCGTCCCAGGAGGCACTGGCTGGGTGGCAGCTGTTTGCCGTGTTGAACAGTGGCTTTTGTTGTGTCTTGCCTCGCCATTCTTCAGCCACATCCACAGGTTCTCAGGCTCTCTATATCTCCACAGCCTTCGGAGGCAGGCCGGGCACGGCCCAGCAGCCTCCTGTCCCCACTTTCCAGAGGAGATCATTGAGGGCTCCTAATTCAGAGCCCACTTGGAACTGCACTGACGGCTATGCTTAATCCACCTGCAGGCTGCGGGCCATCCGACATCTGAGAGGTCAGCCCACTGGCTGAGGAAGAGGTTTGCGCTGCGGCTATCTCCCGAACAGCCGTGCTGTGCCAGGCAGCAGTTAGGGGTTTGGTTGGGATGGCCTATTATTTACAAGATCATTTACCAAGTTACCTCCTTTCATTCTCTAGCAACCTCGAAGAGTCAATTCCACCTCCCTTTTGCAAGGGAGAACACCATTTCAGAGAGGTCAGCCAACCTGCCTGCGGGCACCAGCTCATTGGAAAGCAGGTGGGTGCACATTTGTTTTCAGGACTGTGCGATGGCAGCCCTCACACTCTTCCCTCACCAGCCCTTCAGCTCCCACGTGTTGCTCCGTTGTTCTCCCGAGGCTGACCCTTGATCATGTACTGGCTGGTCACTAGAGCCCCCTTCTCATGGGTAGGCTTTCTCTCTCTTTTTATTTTTTTATTTTTCTATTTTTTATCTTTTTGACAGGCAGAGTGGACAGTGAGAGAGAGAAACAGAGAGAAAGGTCTTCCTTTGCCGCTGGTTCACCCTCCAATGGCCGCCGCGGCCAGCGCACTGCGGCCGGCACACCGCGCTGATCCGATGGCAGGAGCCAGGTGCTTCTCCTGGTCTCCCATGGGGTGCAGGGCCCAAGCACTTGGGCCATCCTTCACTGCACTCCCGGGCCACAGCAGAGAGCTGGCCCGGAAGAGGGGCAACCGGGACAGAATCCGGTGGCCCGACCGGGACTAGAACCCGGTGTGCCGGCGCTGCAAGGCGGAGGATTAGCCTAGTGAGCCGCGGCGCCGGCCATCTCTCTCTCTCTCTAACTTCTGGTTTCTCCATGATTTTTTTTTTTTTTTTGACTGTGCAAGCAAAACAGTTTAGCAGGTGCGACACTTACGGCTTCCAGAGCGTCCTTGTAGTTACAATCCTGCCAAGTTTTGTCACTTTGAACCGGACAGTCGCCCTCCTTGATTTGGTACTCTAAGGAATAAAACACGTCGGTGCCAACCTGAAAAAGAAACCAGAGAGAGTTATGGTGCATTCAGCTCCCCGGGGGGCAGCCCCCCAAGTGGGTCCTGGTGTGGTCAGGATGACTGATGTACATGTGAGCCAGGGACAGCAAAGCCTTCCTTAGAATTACAAGGATTTGCAAATGCGTACTTACGTGGAAGAAGGTACATCAAATATTATACATTTATGTTCAGAGGTTACAAGGAAACATCCATAGAATTAGCCCATTTTTGAAGATTGTTTTATATGTCCATGAATGAAGATACTTCAAAAAGTTTATAGGAAAATGGAATGAAAGCTAAGTTTATTTGCACCAAACACACTTTTGAAATTCATGCATAGTTTTTCATTATATGCATTGTCCACAACTTTCTGCAGATCCCTTGTATGCCTTTAAAAAGGCTAGAAAGCAGGCAGGATCTGTGGCACAGGGGGTTAGGCTGTTGCTTGTGACGCCTGTTTGAATCCCTACTGCTCTGCTTCCAAGCCAGCTCTCTGCTAATGCACCTGGGAAAGCAAAGAAAGATGGTTCAAGTGCTTGGGCCCTTGCTACCCACGTGGGAGACGCAGATGGAATTCTGGGTCCTACTTTTTTTTTTTGATCTGGCCCAAACCCAGCTGATGTGGCCATTTGAAGAGTGAATCAGCAGACGGAAGCTTACTCTCTCTCTCTCTCTCTCTCTCTGTCACTCTGCCTTTCAAATAAATAAGTCTTTAAAAAGATACAAAGATTAGAAAGATATGTAGCAAACTGTTAAAATGCATGTCTCTCAGTGAGGAGCTTATAATTATCTTTCCCTTTCATCTTTAAACAAACATTCCTGCATCGTCTGACATTTTTTTTCTAATGCACATGAATTCCTTTTGAAAATTTAAAAAACCAAGCAAGGCACCTTATTTAAAAAAGAAATGTGAACAGCTATCTTTGGATGGTGGGGTTAATTTGGGGGTAATTTTAGCATTTTTATTTGTTTTGTTATCTAATTTTTCTTCTTTTAATATTAAATAGATGTATCGAGATACAATTCACCCACTCATATATCTACACTTCAATGTCCTTTAGTATTCTTAGAAGCATTTTATCAGCCCTGAAAGAAACCCTGTGCCCACCAGCAGTTACTCCCATAAAAATTCCTCCTCGCCTCTAGCCCCTGGCAACCAGTAACCCACTTTCTCACTCTGTGTCTGCCTGTGCCGGGCCCTTGCTTCCAATTTGAGTCTATGTGCTTTTGCTGCCAAAGCAAGCACTTGGCCACTCGCTATCAGTGGGCCGTGCCGCTGCTCACTGTGTCTGGCTTCTCTCATTTTGCATGCTGTGTTAAAGCTAGCCATGTGGTAGGGTGCATTTAGTATTTCATTCCTTTTATGGTTGGTCTACTGTTGTTTCACAGAACACTTTTCTTTCAGTACAAAGGTGCTGCGTTAGGTGGGCTTTCAGATCTAAGGGACCTGGAGCGTGATATCCTGCAGCCTCTGTTCGTAGCTGACAGCAGGGACGCCCCCGGAGGGCGGGGTTCAGGAGCAGAGCCGGCTGCAGCCTGCTTGGTCATTAGGAGAAGACAGTCACCCAAGACAGTCTCCAAGGTGCCTTCCGCTTTGGCGATTCGGACCTGTGACACGAGGTGGCAGGCACTGCCTGCACTTGGCAAAGTGAAAATAAAAGGACGGTGCAAACATTTCAGAGCAAACTCTACAAACATCAACCAGGGAAGACACGAGAGGCAGACTGTGGTGTCGGGAGCTCCGCACACGTCTGCACCGGACTGGCGCGATTCTACCTTCAGGAAAAAACAAACAAACAAAAAAACCCCAACCTTCCCACTGTGGTTTTCTTCTTTAACTTTGTGATGTCACATGGTTGGACTTTTTTTCCCCCTCACTGGAGTTACCAGTTGCTTAACTACCCCAGACACATAGTTTTTTATATGAAACTTATTTAAATAAATCCGTGAAAGTTTACTTCTTTGGATCACACACCCTGCCAGGATTTGTCTGCTACCCAAGTGCATCAGTGCAGTGATTAAAAAATATTACAGGGGCCGGTGCTGTGGCATAGTGGGTAAAGCTGCCGCCTGCAATGCTGGCATCCCATATGGGCGCCGGTTCGAGACCCGGCTGCTTCTCTTCTCATCCAGCTCTCTGTTGTGGCCTAGGAAATCAGTAGAAGGTGGCCCAAGTCTTTGGGCCCCTGCACACACATGAGAGACCCGGAGGAAGCTCCTGGCTCCTGGCTTTGGATCAGTTCAGCTCTGGCCATTGCGGCCAATTGGGGAGTGAACCAGCGGATGGAAAACCTCTCTCTCTCTCTCTCTCTCTCTCTCTCTCTTTCTTTCTCTCTCCTTTCTCTGTGTAACTCTGACTTTCAAATAAATCTTTAAAAAAACATTACAAACCAGCTATATCATGACTGTTAGCCTGGACACCCTCATGCATCTGGACTTCGCAGTAGGTATCTTGTCTAAGCAGTAGACCCAGGCTAATCTCGGTCCCGCCTCCGCTTGAACAGATCTTTTAAGGGCTCCATCTCACTTAGAGCCCACAGGGCTTTCTATTTTCATACAGTCCCAGAGACCCAGTGGATTCTCTTGCTGCAGCCTCCCTGGGTTCCTGAATTCTCCCGCTTTGCAGAGCCCCTTTCCGATCACTCCACCTCCCTTTGTTTCATTTCACCCTAGATTTTGTTCTCAGAGCAACTGAAGGCCAACCTAGGTGGTCCAAGGACGAGTCACACCCTGCCTTCCCTCCCAGGCCAGAGAGTGGAGCTGATCTTTTCCAAGAGCTGTGAGACTCTACCTTTAATATTAGCGGTGTGTGTGTGTGTGTGTGTGTGTGTGTAGGAGCAGGTGCCTGGTCTCTGAGTGTCAGCGCAAATCCCAAATGCTTCCAAGGCGAAACACAGCCCACTTACCGTCTTCGTGACCTCCGTTACGCGGTGCAACACGAACTGGTTGCCACTTTTGTTTCTATCATTGTATTTGTTCAGAGCAGCATCCACAGCCTTAAACACATCCTCATCATTGCAGTCAATTTTCTCAGAGAGCGGTTCCTGGGTTCCGCCGGGCAGCAGCCTGGAGCAGAGGAAAAGGATGGCAATCAGTCTCATGATTTACCATCCGTCCTCTCCTTCACCGAGAGTCCGGGGCCCACTCGGATGCTGATTTCAACAGTCCCCAGCCTCTGTCTCTTCTGTCGTCTTCTCTTCTACCTCCACACTCGGGGGACTTGGTTGGATTCCTGCTTCCATATGCTATTTGCCCTTATTCCAAAAGGACAAATGCCTCTACTTGGTTACCCAAGTAGACTTCTGGCTAGAACATTGTGACCCTGGGGTTGTTGACATGCCCAGTGGCCTTTGAAAGTGTGTGGGAGCACAGATCGTATTTACAGTAGGCGATTGCACCACTTTGCATTGCAAATTACAGCGGAATCCAATACAGGAGGAGAAACTACCACCAACTAGCTCTGTTATTCCCTGATGACTTTCCCAAAGCCATTTACAGAGGTTACTACATGTGCACACAGTGCAGCAGAGTACAAAGTGCAGTCCCTTTGCTGGGAAACTTTCTAGGCAGCTCATCTGTTTGCATAGATGCAGGCTGCCACCAGCTGATATCCGTGTCCGGGAAGCCCTTGCACAGGGGGACCAAGTGAGTTCTGGGAGTCCCACCCACAACACTGGCACAACTGAAGATAAAATATGTGCAGTCGAGCTGGTCTCTCTCTTTCAGTTCAATTGCACTGGTAATGTAAAGGAAAATTTGTGCCAGGGTGGAAGAGGCAGGAGACAAGCATAGAAGAAATGGGTTGAGTGCAGCCCTGAAGTTCTCCCCCTTGTTTCTGGTTTGGTGCCTACAGGTGTCATTCAATCACCAAGCCTGAGTAACTTTTTTGATAGAATTAAACCAAAGGGGGGCTGGTGCCGCGGCTCAATAGGCTAATCCTCTGCCTTGCAGCGCCGACACACTGGGTTCTAGTCCTGGTTGGGGCGCCGGAATCTGTCCCAGTTGCCCCTCTTCCAGGCCAGCTCTCTGCTATGGCCCGGGAGTGCAGTGGAGGATGGCCCAAGTGCTTGGGCCCTGCACCCCATGGGAGACCAGGAGAAGCACCTGGCTCCTGGCTTCGGATCAGCGCGGTGTGCCAGCCGCAGCACGCCGGCCACGGCGGCCATTGGAGGGTGAACCAACTGCAAAGGAAGACCTTTCTCTCTGCCTCTCTCTCTCACTGTCCACTCTACCTGTAAAAAAAAAAAAAAAAAAGAATTAAACCAAAGGGGAGAGGAGGCTGTAAGTTAGGTTAAAGATGTGGGTTAGCCCTTGTAGATACTTACCTTCAGGTCTTACCAAAACAAAGGTTGAATTCTTTGTTGCTGTTGATAAGATCTCCAGCTTGGCAACTGAGTTTGCCTGACTCCCCCCACCCCTTAAGGAAGAGGGGTCGGTGGGGGCTGAATGGTGACGCTGGAGTGGTGTAGCAGGAACACAGCAGTGAGGTCAACCTGTATTCCAGTCTAGCTCTGCTACTTGACAGCTATGTGACCCTGAGCAAGGAGGGTTTGTGTAAAGATTTTTTTTAAAGATTTATTTATTTGAAAGTCCAAGTTATACAGAGAGAGAAGGAGAAGGAGAAGAGAGAGAGAGAGAGAGAGGTCTTCCATCCACTGGTTCACTTCCCAACTGGCTGCAATGGCTGGAACTGTGCCAATCCGAAGCCAGGAGCCAGGAGCTTCTTCTGGGTCTCCCACATGGTTGCAGGGACCCAAGGACTTGGGCCATCTTCCACTGCTTTCCCAGGCCACAGCAGAGAGCTGGATCGGAAGTGGAGCAGCCGGGACTCATCCCATATGGGATGCCGGCAGTGTAGGCAGCAGCTTTACCCGCTACACCACAGTGCCAGCCCCCTCATCCTATCTTAAAAAGGTTATTCGGGGTTGGGATTGAATGAAGTCTTAGCGTGCAGGACCCGGTGCTTGGTTGTTATAAATTGTGTCTAATGTTAGAGGGAGATGGTTGGGAATCTCTGACTTACTGAAGCAGCTTAAACTGCATGCTGATGGCAGGAGATAGATCCTAATGGGAGATGTAGGAATGAAATTAAGGGTACAAGACAGTTGGGCAAGCTGTCAGGCTGAGAGGAAGGAGGAGACAGAAGAGATGGAGGAGCTGAGAGCTGGGTGGGTGAGGAAATGAGTGAGTGCACATCCGGGAGGAGCCGACGGGGACAGTCAGCACCAGCATGGGTGTTTCAAATGAAGGCTCTGGACCAGGACCTGGTGGTGAGTTCAGGCAGCGCAACAAATAAAGAGCAACGAACGTGGATGTGGATTTCCAGGAGCACAGTAAGAGTCCTTTACTTTTTGAAAGATTTAGTTATTTTATTTGAAAGGCAGAATTCCAGAGAGAGAGAGAGAGAGAGATCAGTCTTCCATCTGCTGGTTCACTCCCCAAATGGCTGCAGTGATCAGAGTTGGGCCAGGTCCAAAGCCAGGAGCCAGGAGCTTCATCTGGGTCTCCCACTTGGGTGCACCAGCCCAAGCACTTGGGCCATCCTCCACTGTTTGTCTCAGGGGCATTAACAGGGAATTGGATCTGGAAGTGGAGCAGCCAGGACTCGAACCAATGCCTGTAGGGATACTTGTGCCAAAGGCAGCAGTTTAACCAGCTGTGCTACAGTGCCGGCCCCTGGAAGAATTCTAATCCAGTTCCACGAATTACTAATTATAAAGTCCTATGCAAGTAATTAAACTTCTTTGGGCCTCACTGTCCCTCTCTAAAAAAATTATGTGGCTGCCCATTTTCCAAACCTATTTCCCTTTTCTTCTTGGAATACAGCTGGGCTTCACCTCCTGATTTCCCTTGCATTCTTTTTTTTTTTTTTTTTTTTTGACAGGCAGAGTGGACAGTGAGAGAGAGAGACAGAAAGGTCTTCCTTAGCCGTTGGTTCACCCTCCAATGGCCGCTGAGGCCGGCGCACTGCGCTGATCTGAAGCCAGGAGCCAGGTACCTCCTCCTGGTCTCCCATGCGGGTGCAGGGCCCAAACACTTGGGCCATCCTCCACTGCACTCCTGGGCCACAGCAGAGAGCTGGACTGAAAGAGGAGCAACTGGGACAGTTTCCGGTGCCCCTACCAGGACTAGAACCTCATGTGCCGGCGCCGCAGGCGGAGGATTAGCCTATTGAGCCACAGCGTCGGCTTCCCTTGCATTCTAAGTATGACCACAAACCTGAGTTCTAGCCAATGAAATGTGAACATAAATTATGCTGGCCACTTCTAGGCCAGACCCATAAAAACCACCTTCATGATCTTCCACTCTTCCCCCAAGTAGGCTGGGTGCAGAAGATCTAGGAGAAAATACAGGGGCTCAGAGGGAGGACAGAGCCAGAAGGCAAAAGAAGCCTGGGGCCCTGAATCACCATGTGGATGGCCACTTACTGATTGTTATATGAGAGAGAATTGAATCCTGTATCCTTAGGTTTATATATTTGTTAAACAAGCACTCCTTCAACCCCTCACATGTGCTAGACACTTTGATGAACAGAGTATGTGCTGGCATAGTATTCACTGGGGATAAGGAAAAGGGAAGACACGATAGCTATTTCTAGTCTGTAAGACTTAAAAAATGGTAGTGCTGTGGACAGAAGGAGTAATGGCAGGAAGTAAAAGAAATGATTGGCTAAGAGTGAGGAGTTTGGGCTTTAGACATTTGAGAAGGCAGTAAGTAATATTCTGTTGTCCAGTTCACAACACCTTTGAAAGTTGATAGAATATTTCCACGTTAACTTTGTGGGGAGCAACTCGGACTAGACTAAGTTACTGGAATTAAGACTTATTCTATGCATCTGCTCTCCCACAATATGGCGCTGGGAGAGGAGGCAACAGCTTCTACGCAGCTGCCTCTTGCCAACTTGAGTGATGACCTCCAGGAGCTGATCCTGCTCCTGATTGGAGGAGAGCAGCGTACTCGGCGTGTGGGCAGCCGAGTTAGGATTGGCAGAGGAGGACTATAAAGGAGGAGAGAGACAGCATGCACGAGGAACATCTAAGGGGAACATCTGAGGGAACACCTGTGCAGCCCCCCGAGAGAGCCGGCCGGCGGTGTGCCGCTCCCCTGCGGAAGTGGGGAATGTGGCAGGGGGAACCGCCCTTCCACGGAGGTGGAAGGGACAGTAGCCAACCCGGGAAGAACCAGCAGCAAACCCGGGGAGGGCCGAGCAGACAAAAGAACAGCGCAGGGTCCTGTGTCGTTCCTCCACGAAGACGGGGAGCGACATAATGGTGCCGTGACTCGGATGTGAAGCCTAGGCAGGGTTTAGTGTCGTTCCTCC